CTCATACATCATTCATTCATTCAGCGCAAGTATATTGATTTCTTATTATAAAACAGGCAGTGTTCCAGGTGCTTGAGTTACAAAGTAGAATACAAACCCTCTAGGAATTCACAGTTTAAGTGGGAGATATAAAAGCAGGTAAAATACAGTAAGACATGGGAAGCATTATGTAAAGTTATGTGAAAGCCAGAGGATAGGGTTACTAACTATACACAAAAAATTAAATATGACCTTATTAAAGAAAAAAAAACTCAAGTAAAAACAATTGAAAGAACGACTTTTTAAAGAAAGAATATTAACGAGTAATTCATTTTCTCACTTCCATTTTTTTTTATTTTTTAGTTTTTTTAGCTGAGCCATCCTGCCACCTGTTGGCAGCTCAGTGGCAGCTCAGCTCCGGCCGAGCATCGAACCACTGTTGCTCAGAGCTCAAACTCTTGAGCGAGCTCTTAAGCAACTGAACCACTCGGCCGGCCCCTCTCACTTCCATTTTTATGTTCATTAAAGTTATAGATACCGGGCTGGCCCACTGGCGTGTTGGTTAAAAGCTGGCTTGGGACATCAGCTCTGAGCAGAAGGGTGCCAGTTCAGATTCCATATGGGCCAGTGATGCTGCGCCCTTTACAGCTAAGATGGTGAACAACAGCTCAACCTGGAGCTGGGCTGCCATGAGTTGCTGGTGACAGCGTAGGCTGCAGCCCCTGCTGCGGTGGGCTGCTGTGAGCTACCGTGAGTGGCCGTCCAAATGGCCAGCAAGAGACTGCCTCACCCGGGAAAAGTGCAATGATAATACCAACATGAGCCAGTGAAGCGACGTCCTCCACAGCTAGACTGAAGAACAAAAGGACAGCAACTTATCTGTTCCCCTCCCCCAATTCCCTAATAAAATCTTTAAAAAAAAAAGTTATAGATACCTATGGTTTAAAGAATCAAAGTTCCTCATCTCACTTCTGTTTCCCCTCCCAAAGCAATTGCTCTCAATTTTTGTAGCTGGATTTATTTTTGTTTTACCTCAATATCTCTAAAAATTGTACTTACATTACATTATTCATCTTTACGTTTTTGGCATTAGTTACTGACTTCTCATATTGAATAAATGAGGATTTAGCTCTCTTTCATCCCTCTTCCATGAATGCACAGGCACACTTTCAATTTCCCCAATCCTCCCAATAAAATAATATTTTGATTTTAGTTCAATATTTAGTATTTACATTATTATGATTATGTAAAGCTATTCACAGTAGAGCCATGTAGTTTTATTGTATAATTATTTTCCTTGCCCATATAGTTTTTTGGTTTTAATGAAGTTCATTGCCTTTTTTTCCCGGTTACTTAGTATCCTATGTATTTATTAGAAATTCAATCTCAATTACTTCCGAAACATTCAAACACAAGAGGTATTTTATTAACTTATTTTTCTTGAAAAATATTTCCTGGGCCTTTTGACATGAAAATATCTGACAGTACTTTGTTCTTGGTATTCAGCTGTCATTCTGCAATTTTGCTGTATCAATTTCTGAGGGATTCTCTTTACCCTCATCATGCTGGCTCTCCTGTTACTCAGATCTTTGGTTTTCCTCTGTATTGGCTTTCTATTTTGGAGAACCATATCCTTTATTAGCTTTCTGAGAAAGAGTATAGGAGTGGTACGTGAAATATATCCTTTTTCTGCTCTTCACTTGATTGATAGTTTTGACTCAGTATAGAATTATGTGTTAAAATAGTTTCCCATAAGATTTTGAAAAGTTTTCTCCATTGTCTTCCAGCTTCCAGTTTTGCCATTTAGAAGTCTGAGTTCACTCTGATGCCTCATTCATTGTATGGGTAAGTGTTCTAAAATTTTATGATGCCAAGTCTTGATGTGCATCAATTTTAATCTATTTAGCCAAGCATTCAGTGTACCTTTTTGTTCTGGAAACTCGTGTCCTTCAATTCCGGGAAATTAATATTTTTGAAAATTTCTGCCCCTTTGTTTTCTCTCTTACCTTTTTTTGAAACTCATGTTATTCATATGTTAGAGTTCCTGGACTGGTCATTTTTTTTTCTTTTTTAAATCCTTTCTGCTTATTTTGGATTTGTCTTCTTTCTCTTAATTCTGGAAAGTCTGTGATGTACAATGCATTAGTTTTTGGTTTTGCTCACTGAATATTTAGGATTAGCTTTCTGAGATCTGTTAAAAATCTGCTACAATTTGTTCACCTGCTTTCCACCATCCAATTCTTTTTCATTGTCTCCGTTTCCACTTTCTTTTCCTATGCTTTTTAATTGTTTTTTTTTTGAATAGTCAAAAGTGAGTGCATGTATTAAAATATGACATCTCCCCAAATGGCCTCACCCCCTTTTTAAATAAAAGTTTACAAAGGTAAAGGAGCTCTTTTTTCTTAAACAATCAGGTAAAAAATTGGTTGGCTAATTAAAAAAGTCAGCTGAAATAGGGAATCATAAAAAAGAGTACACACTTTAAACATGTTATTTTAAATTAAGTCATGTAATTTATATATTGATTAGCCAATCTATTGATTTTGAACAACACCTTTTTTTGAGCATATTTTCATTGATTTCAATCCCATATTATTATTTTTTTGTATAAACCACTATCATAATGAATCATATAAGAATAATAAGATTTTTATTATTTTTTGTGATGTAAAATCATAAAAACCATTGTACGTGACCTGAAAAAACAAGCCTTAATAAACTTTCTTAATTTTTTTACCATTGTATCACCTAAACTGAATTTCACAATTATTAGACATGTACTGCTTTAGACTGAATTCCTCATGAATGGGATTCGGGTTCTCATAAAAGAGACTCTGGAGAGCCCTGTCACCTTTTCTGCCACATAAGAACAGAGTAAGACCCTGAACCTGCCAGCACCTTGATTTTGGACTTCCTTGTCTCCAGAACTGTGAGAAATATGTTTCTGTTATTTATTTATAAGCTACCCAGTGTATGGTATTTTTGTTACAGCAGCCCAAACTAAGACATGTATCATTTTTAAGTCTTTTGAAAACATTGAGCTTAGTTCTAAAGAAATATTAAATATCTTTCTTCATATTAGTTTACATAATATTTAATTAAACTGTGTATTTGCAATAATCAGCACAACTAGGATGAACAATTTTGAAAACAACTACAACTGGTTTTTAGTAAGTGTACAAGTAGACTGGTGGGAGAAATTGGGAGACTTATTAAAATATAATAGCTAATCTTGAGGTTTAGAATCAAGAGAGACCAGTTATAATGAAGGGGGGCTAAAGACAATTTGATTAGGAGATTACAGACGATGAGGTACAGGTCTGGTGAGTACAACAGAATTTGAATGATGTTCAGTGAGGAGGTTATCACTGGAAGTGAGTATCTCTGACTTATGATGTGCAGTTTGTGCCACTACTGTGCAGATAAGACTGCTCTGCTTGAGACACAAAAACTCTTCTAAATGAAGGATAAATAAGTTCTAATAACTTAGTAAGATCTAATTGTTTAACTGATTTATTGTTCAGAAATGTACCAACTCCATGTTTTATGGTACAATAATTTTTCCATTTCACCTTGAATATTAAATTTAGGATTTATTATTAATTTGGAGGATTAAGGAAAGAGGGTGTAGCACTCTGTTAGATTGCTGTGTTTCATATAAATATTGATTATCTGGAAAATTCAGCTATAATTTTTTACTTTGTTTTAATTCTATAAAATAAATAGATACATTATTAAGGTTTATAATGAGAATCAGCATTTGGATTTGGATGAACTTATGAAAAGTCAACTAAGTGAACAGGTACATAAGCCCAATTTAGTTTTTTCAGTTTTAAGAAAGAAATGGAACATTTTCAGGTACTCAGTTTTGTAATTAAGAACAGAGGAGAAAATTTGTCAGGAATATTGCAACTGTTATAGACAGTATGTTTGAATTCTACATTATGGTTTGATCAGAGAAACAGTAAACTGAGAAGATATTTAAATTCATAAGTTAGAAAAAAGAGACAAAGGGAGAAAGAGGTGGAAAGAAGAACAAAGAAACAAAGGAAAAAGCAGAGTTGATTATAGCAAACACAGAATAATGACTATGCAGTTACAGAAATAGAACAAGAGAGTCAGACCTGGCTGTCTGGAGTGTTGGCATGGGCTTACAGACAAAGGCCTAAACGCCCCAGACAAAAATTATCAGCTATGGAGACTGTGCACTCATACATGGAAAATGCTTAGAGAGGGTTGGATTTGATTCAGAAAACAATCCCATCTTCTCCCCTACCAACTGTTCTTGAAGTTACAATTGAAGGCTGCAGAGGCATAAATTCAAAGTCCCTTTGAGAATGCATTCCCCATTTCCTCTGACCAAATTAGAATTGTTTATGGGACCATGTAGGGCGGCCTGTGGATAATTTTATGCTCATTGTGGCCAGCTGGAAAAGGCTGGGGTTTATCAGAGACTGATATTCAGGGAATTGGAAAGGCTAAAGAAAGATGGCTGTAGTTCTAGAATGAAGAACCAGAGTTAATTTAGAGGGCAGAAGGGACCCTAGAAAAGATAATAAAAATGGGAATTATAAATGAGTAGATTGTTGCCATTGGTAATAATCTGGGTCACTTAACAGCTGTATTTTTCCATTTGTGTTTTCTTGTCTGTGGATTTTGATAATACAGTTGTCGAATATGTGTTCATCATCTGAGCCTAACAATAGATTTCATTCCAGAATGCAATTGTTATATAACAAAAATTCAGCATGTTGGAGAAAAAGTCAATCAACACAGTTTCCAGCTTTGTATGCCTTTGTTTGTAGGGAGTCAGGCAGAAATGAGCATTTGTCATTCGACTCTTCTAGTGCACCCCCAGCACACGGTGCCGTGGGCCTAACACATCAGAGTCTGATGTTTATCTTTTATTACCTGCCAGACCCCTCTGGAAAGAGCCTCCATGGAATTCATTATCTGCAGTGTTTGTTTCAGGTATACATATAAATACATGTTGAAGGCACTTGTTGGGGGTATTGTGGTTTCCACGGGTGACTTAAATAAAAAAGTGTGCGATGAATAATGAAGGGGACCTTCCGCAGGAGGTATGAAGTTAATAATTAAAATGTTATTTACCAAAATACTGACAGCAAAGATTTTTATTGTTGTATGTCAACTATTGGAGTGCTAGTATGAATAAAGAGAGCATGATTATACTTGTTTTATGTCTGCTTCAGAGAAGTTTGTGAAGAAAACTCGGTTCTCTACTACACATTGCATTTATAAATATAATAAAAACTAAATTCAGAATTTGCATTAGGAAAGCTCATTTAAGTTTAATAATCATTTAAAATAACTTCATTAGGCACTGAGTTTCAGAAGCATAAGGATGCTATAAAAATTTTTGCCTATTTTGGTTGTTATTGAGAGCACAATTTTTGTTTTTGTTAAAGTGTTCATCTTTTTTTAATAAAAATGCTTTGAAGTTAAATGATTAAATTTAAGAACTATGGGGAGCTAAAAAATATTAATGCTTTCCCCCCTAGCTTCTAAGTTTGTTTAGCTGGGATAATAATCAAATTAACAGACAAATTAACAGGAGAAAATCAAAATTTAATACATGTGCATGGGGAATTAACATTACCATGAAAATTTCAAAGACAATGAAGCAACATTGGGTATATATGGCGTTTTGGATGCAGGAGAAAAGGGGGGAGGGGCTTTAGATTTCAAAAGTGAAGCAGGTTTTTCTATTTGAATCCCTTGGGCAGGAAAGAGGGGTCAAAGGCTCTTTCTGAATCGTGTTTCTTAACAAACAGCTTAAAATCAATATCCTAAAAGGGCAGCTTCATGGTAGCAAAACTTTGGTTGCCTTCAGAACTCATTTTCAAATTATATTTGCAATGCGCAGCATTTTAAGTAGTGACAACTGCTCATCTGCTCTAGAATATAATACTCAGTTGTCAACATACAGTCTTTCTCTCTGGTTCTTAATGTGTATGTACCCAACTTCTACTCTTGTTTTTCTGACAGACCATTCTGAAAAGCTGAAATGTAGATTGGGAGGCATGCTGTGGTCAAGTCTTGGAGGATGTGCACTTTCTTTAGATGAAGTCAAGAAAATATAATGCAATAAGCGCACCTACTGTGTGCAAGGCACAATGGTAGAACAAAGCACTGTGTTTGAAATAGTGGCATATAGAGAATAGACCTGATTCTTCCTCCTTCTTCACCTGGTGGAGAAGACAGCTAAAACCTAAGGAAGAGGGAGGCCGCTGCTATGTAGATTGAATATAAGCAGTGTGGTTTGGGATGGAGGCAAGAACTAGTATACTTTCCACAAGAAAACTGGGTAACACTATGTGAAGAAGGGACTCACTGAAAAGTAGCTGTGGCTTTTCAAGTAGTGATCTATCATTGCCAGAGGCATCAAATGATGGACATATTTGTGTTAGAGAATAAATTCTTCTGAAAGTAAATTTGTATCGAATGATGGCTTAGAGAAAGGAACTAATTAGTATGTGTATCATCAGCTTTCTGAAATTTTGATTTCTAATTGTTTAACTTCTCGGAGTAAATTTTGCTACCACTGAGCTTATGGTAGAGCTGTGTTTTCTCCCCGACCCCTCACAATTTTAGCTTTGGGTTCGAGATGACTCAGGTTTTGTGAAAACTCTTAAGAGATGCACTCTCTCCAGATCAGTCTAGAGTCTAGACCAAATATTGATTGTCCATTCTTAGGAGAATAGAGAAACCAAGAATATGAGTTTAAAGAACACAATTTTCACTGCGAGAGACATACTCTCTCTTCTGAGAAACACGTTCTTTGATGACTGGGATGGAACATTATATTTGTTAGATGTAATAAAGGAGAGCCTTGGAGTCCACTTGATCCAACTCCCACGGAATGACCTCCCCTGTGCTCTTCTGAGTAGGGTCACATTCTCAGGAAGAGAAAGTATATGGGAGGAAGGAGGGAGATGGTGTGTGACATTCCTTTTGTAGTTAAATAATGTCTGGAAAAGGACAATCATTGTGTTCCATACCAGATGCTCTGGTAACGTGAGCAGCAGCAGCATGAGTTTAACTGCAAAAACACGGCCGCTGAACAAAGACTTGATGGATTCAGAAGGGCAGGTTGTGTGTGTAAAGAAAATCCCTCAGGAGGATCACTGCCCCAAGCAGAACAAATTCTTCCATGGAATATTCAGTAAAAATGAACTGTTATTCATCTTAGATTTGGTATTTCCCTAAAGACTATTTCACTGAGATTTCCTGTTCAAAGTAGTGTCATAAAGTCATGCATTCAGCCAAATTCTTAGCAGTGGTGAACAGAAAATAGATCAAAACCATATTCTTATACCCAAAAATAGACCTTGTAGAGGTATGAAGTTGTGAAATTGAGGGAAATGACAACACATCATAATAATTAAAATGAATTTATCACAGGCCTTGTATATGGTACTGGGATGGGCAATACGCCAAGTGAGTTGGGTAAGATCTGTTCTCTGCCCTATAGATGTTTATGATTCATACAGAAGACACTTGCACAGGCAGACACAGAGGGCTGATGCTTCCACATTGCAGGAGGAATGGATGCCGTCCGGGGTGAGAACAGAGGTTCATCCTGCTCTGCAGCCTGTCTCTGTCTCTGTGGTAGGACACTTAGTGCAGCTCTGTGGGAGCCTATGGCTGACCTGCTAAAGGCCAGACCCCAGGCTAGAGATTTACCTGCCCCAACTTACCCTACTTTTCCTGCTTTATGCCATTGTCTGTGCAACCCTATAAAAACTTCCTGATTCTATTTTTATATTTTAATGGGTTTTATATTTTAGGATTCAAAGTTTTGATTTCAGATTTCAAGGTTTTTAGTTCATTTTATACTAATTTTTATGTACCTCAAATCTAACTTCTTCCAGCACAAGTAGTTCTCTCAATGTTAAAGATTAGGTTTATGTTTCATGTGCAGTGGTTGAGAGCACACTCCCTGAAACAAGAGTGCCCATGTTTTGGGAATGTTTTAGATCTTACTTTCCACTAATTGTTAATTTTAGCTCAAATAAACTCTTACAAAAGATTAAAAAAAAAAGAATGCCCATGTTTTAATCTTGGCTCTACTACTTACTAGCTGTGTGATATGGGGCAGATTATTGGACTTCTCTGTGCTTCATTTGGACATTAATAGTAGCGAATGGAATACATTTTGTGGAGAGATTAAATTTGCACATGTTAAGTGCTTAGAATAGTGCTTAGAACTTAGTGAACCCTCATCAAACAGAAGCTATTCATCATATATACTTTGCTATGTTGTAGCCTGACCAGTAATAGCTCTCCAAGTTTTCATTTTTACAGCCTTGAAGAGTTTTACACTTTTTCCTTTATACAGTAGAACTTTTTTTGTCTTTTTAAAAAATTATTTTCAGGTATACAAAAGCAACATAATGATTAGACGTTTATATACCTCACAAAGTGATAACCCCAATAAGTCTATTGCCCATCTGATGCTGTACATAGTTATTATAATATTATTATTGAGTGTATTCCCTATGTTGTACTTTATATCCTGTGACTATTTTTTAAAATTATAGCTGACATTCAATGTTATTTTATATTAGTTTCAGGTGTACAGCGTCGTGTTTAGACATATATATAATTTGTGAAGTGATCCTCCTGATAAGTCTAGTACCCATCTGACACTATACAGAGTTTTTACAATATTATTGATTATATTCCCCATACTGTATTTTATATCCCGGTGACTATTTTGTAACTACCAATTTGTACTTCTTAATCCTTTCACCTTTCTCACCCAGCCTCCCAACCCCCTGCTGTCTAGCAATCATCAGTTTGTTCTCTGTTTCTATGAGTCTATTTCTGTTTTGTTTGCTCATTTATTCTGCTCTTTAGACTTCATATATAAGTGAGATCATGTGGTATTTGTCTTTCTCTGTTTGACTTATTTCACTTAGCATAATACCCTTTAGGTCCATTTATATTGTTGCAAATGGTAAATTTCATTCTTTTTTATGGCAGAGTAGTATTCCATTGTATATATGTACCACCTCTTCTTTAACTAGTCATCTATTGATGGGCACTTGTGTTGCTTCCATATCTTGGCTATTGTAAATAGTGCTGCAATGAACATAAGGGTACATATATCCTTTACAATTTGTGTTTTGGATTTCTCTGGATAAATACCAAGGAGTGGAATAGCTGGGTCATATGGTAGATCTATTTTAATTTTTTGAGGAACCTCCATACTGTTTTCCATAGTGGCTGCACCAATTTATATCCCCACCAACAGTGACAAGGGTTTCCTTTTCTCCACATCCTCGCCAACACCTATAGTTTATTGATTTATTGATGATGGCCATTCTGACAGGTGTGGGGTTTTAATTGGTATTTCTCTGATGATTAGTAAGATTGAGCATCTTTTGAACTTTGTCTTTTGATATGATAATGATAACCATTATGTATTGTATACATTTATATGAATAAACACATACCTATCTACTTATAGCCCATCAAGGTTTTCCTAAGGTACAGTGACTAGAACTATATTTATTATTCTAGGTTTAGGCATATTATATATTTTTGAAAGATAGAATGCCTTCTCCAGTCATTTTTTTGGATGAGGCCCAGTATTTTTATCTATAGCAGCCCATTAGTTGATATCTTCACTGACAGTTCTATAATATCCTTGGATCTTATTTCATATTCCATTACAGAATCCATTCTCATAAATATATATTATATACTAAATGTATATTTATATTTTTCCAAGTCTTTTCTTACCCTTGAAGCATATCTGTTGTTTTTCTTTGCTCATCCACAAGCTTCCGAAAATTACTTTCATACTCTCTACACAGATACATATATTTTTAGGCACAAAAATCTTAATTTCTCTGGAAAACATGGAGATTTTTTTTCCAGTTCACTTATGAAAATGTTAAATAAGATCAGTACTAGTGCCAAGCTCAAGTAATTGACCCAGCTCAAGTAATTTTGCTTCCTTTATTATTTCAGCTTCCTTTGTTATTTAGGTTCATCTTATGAAAATAACGTGGCACTATACCTTTAGAAAATAAATCTCTTTTTCCCTTCT